ATCAGGCCCAGGCAGAAGGCCCTGCATCTGATGTAATGCTTTATCAGCCCCAGGCAGAAGGCCCTGTATCTGATATAACGCTTTAGCAGGCCCAGGCAGAAGGCCCTGTATCTGATGTAGTGCTTTATCAGGCCCAGGCAGAAGGCCCTGTATCTGATGTAGCGCTTTATCAGCCCCAGGCAGAAGGCCCTGTATCTGATGTAGTGCTTTATCAGGCCCAGGTGGAAGGCCCTGTATCTGATGTAGTGCTTTATCAGGCCCAGGCAGAAGGCCCTGCATCTGATGTAGTGCTTTAGCAGGCCCAGGCAGAAGGCCCTGTATCTGATGTACTGCTTTATCAGCCCCAGGCAGAAGGCCCTGTATCTGACGTAGCGCTTTATCAGCCCCAGGCAGAAGGCCCTGTATCTGATGTGGTGCTTTAGCAGGCCCAGGCAGAAGGCCCTGTATCTGATGTAGCACTTTATCAGCCCCAGGCAGAAGGCCCTGTATCTGACGTAGCACTTTATCATGACCAGGCAGAAGGCCCTGTATCTGATGTAGCGCTTTAGCAGGCCCAGACAGAAGGCCCTGCATCTGATATAGCGCTTTATCAGCCCCAGGCAGAAGGCCCTGTATCTGATGTGGTCTTTTGGTTGGGAGCTACAAGAGCAGTGGGCTAATTTCCACGCACAGCTGGGGAATGGTAGAGTTGTTTACTCCCTCAGGCTGGTGATTATCTGCAAGTTCCAGGTATCTGTGCCCCTTACCTTCCCTGGAGAGTGATGTCGTGGCATTGTCTCTCAGATAGTAATCTGGAGAGGCTCTGTATGGGCCTGAGTTCAAATTCTGGCATAGCACTCAATCGAAACAAAAGAAATAAAAACCTGGAGTCAAAAGCTCCTCTCGGTAAAACCAGTGTCAATGTTTGTTAAAATTCTATCTGGTTCGCTACTACAGTTTATGGAGGGAAATCTGCTGTCTTTCCCTGGTCTGGGCCTACACGTGACTCCCAGCATCCAGCCTGGTTGTCTGATGATAATACTGCTAGGCCTCACCCCAAGTTGTGGGTCCTCTGATGGGTGTGGCTATGGGCAGTCACCTTCACTGTCAATGCAGAGACAGAGACAGAGGAGCCAGTGTTTGGACAGAGATAGAATCCAGTGTTTGGCAAGACAGAGCATGGTCTACTGTTTGGAGAGAGACAGAGTGCAGCCTGGTGTCTGGGGAGAGAGATAGTGGCCTGGTATTTGGGAGATAGAGAGTGGCCTAGTATTTGGGGATTATAACACAGTACATAGAGAACAGAATAGAATTCCTACAGTGTGGAAACAGGCCATTCGGCCCGACAAGTCCACACTGACTTCGAAGAACGTCCCACCCAGATTGACACCTCCTACCCTACATTTCCCATGGCTAATGCCCCTAACCTACACCTTCCTGCGCATTAGGGGCAATTTAGCACAGCCAGTCCACCTAACGCGCACACCTTTGGACTGTGGGAGGAAACCGGAGCACGCGGAGGGAACCCACGCAGACTCGGGGAGAATGTGCAAACTCCACACAGACAGATGCCCGCGGGTGGGATCGAACCCGGGTCCCTGGCGCTGTGAGGCGGCAGTGCTGACCCCTGAGCCACCGTGCCACCCCTGTGAGTTCTCAATGTTGGACAGTTTCAGCGCCACATCATCCCCCCCGCAGCCCCCGCCCCCCCCCAACCCACCCCAAGCCCATAAGGTGAGGGTATAGTAAGCTGACAACAAACACTATCGTAATGGCAGGACAGGCATGTTTACAGAGGAGCGGGCACTGCCAGCTGTTCCATTGCCAGGGAAACGTTTCCTGTAGCTTTACCAGCCTCGGGGCCTGCGATGGGGAGGGTGGCCGTTCTACTCATCTTGGAACCGCCACCCCTTCCTTCCCCCCTGCAATGGATTGGTGCGGAGAGACCTGAGGGTGCCCAACACAGGAGCGTCACCCACCCACCCCACCCCTCCCCACAGCCTTGAACCAGCTGTGGTACAGCAGTGCCAATCAAAGGTGCCCCGAGTTAGTAGATGCCACAGAGGAGATGGTACGGGGGTGGTGGGGGGGAGGTGAGGGTGGGGAGGTGGGTGGGGTGTTGCCCCTGACTCTCTGCCTCCAGCCCTGGACCACCCTGTCTCCATGGGCAAGGAAACTGAGGACCCTCGACCCTTTCATACCTCTGCCCCACACACTCACCTCGTGTGGTGTTGGTGGCCAAAGCAATGCAGCGCAGGAGGAGCATTTGCAGTGAGACAGTTGGACTGAGTGACGGCTGTGTGAGGCTCAGGAACTATTTATGGGGTGTGGGCGTCACTGGTTGGGGTCCAGCATTTACTGCCCGTCCCTAGTTGCCCCCCTTGAGAAGGTGGGGGTGAGCTGCCTTCTTGAACCACTGCAGTCCCCATGTGCTGTGGGTTGACCCACAATGCCCCTTAGGGAGGGAATTCCAGGATTTTGACCCAGCGACGCTGAAGGAACGGCGATATGTTCCCTGGTCAGGATGGGGAGTGGAGGGGAACTTGCAGGGGGCTGGTGTTCCCATGTATCTGCTGCCCCTTGTCCTTCTGGATGGAAGTGGTCGTGGGTTTGGAAGGTGCTGCCTGAGGATCTTTGGTAAATCCCTGCAACGCATCTTGTAGATGGTACACACTGCTGCGACTGAGCGTCGGTGGGGGAGGGAGTGGGATGTTTGTGGATGTGGTGCCAATCGAGTGGGGGCTGCTTTGTCCTGGATGGTGTCGA